CCCCAAAACCCCAAAACCCCAAAACCCCAAAACCCCAAATTCCATTTTATAAATTGATAACTAATTTTTCACTATTTAAGAAATTTTTGAATAAATGTCAGTTCAAGTCTATAGCTAATTCCTTTAAATTTACTTATCTTGACTATTTAGGACCTCTGACTTTGCTATAGATGGTCAATTTAGGAGAGACACTCCAAGAAGAGATATTCAGGCGTAAAGCCAGAGCAATCCACATGAAAAAGTTGAAAGAAATCAGATACAGAAGTATGACTCGGAGAAACAAAAATAATTCTAATTCCTTCTCTTTTAATGACTTCCAAAAGAAGAGAAAGAAGTTTATGAAGAAAGAGAAATTTGATGACTTGAACAAATCAAATAGAATTCTTTTACAAAGACTTATTGCTATTAGCAACAGGAAGAAATAAAAATGATGATGGAAGCAACTGATTTAATAAACCACAGAAAATGCAAAAGTTGGTAAGCCAAATCGATAGAAATTTGGTCTTATCTCTGTCTAGATAATATCCTCTGTAAGAAGGCAGAGATGCAGTCCAGTAGGCAATAGTTATAATTCCAAAGTACCTAATTTAAAAGTTCAAAACTTGATTGAAAATAGTGCTCTTAGCAAGCCCAGTAATTCAAATCTTAAAATTCTAGAGAAATAAAAGATCAAAATCTAGGGATAGATGAGCGCAGAGGTATTTTAGAGACCAAGTAATTGCCTCGAAGTTCACATGAAGATACAACCAGCTTCGAAGAATAGAAGTAGAAAATGCTAAATTTGCTAAAAGACTTTACGACAATAAGCCTTCAATTTCTAAAAAGAAGCTTGAAGATAGCTTCCAGACTCACTTGAAGTTAAAGAAGAGAATGAGTAAATTCTCTCAGAACAGGGCGAGAAAGTCTATTGCAATGGAAATAGCTAATCGAAAATTAGGGACAAGCAACCAAGTCAAAAGATCCCTCGTACCAGGTTCCAATTCAGTCCCACGTATGAGGCCAAAGACAAGGCAAATCTCAACGACAGAAGGAAATGGAAAGAACCTTGACTTGTAGTGCTATAAGATTAATTTCAATCTGTTTTACGAAAAATGGGGTTTTGGGGTTTTGGGGTTTTGGGGTTTTGGGG